ATTTTATTATTCTATACAGATCTTATTTAATCAATAAAAAAATATTTATTAATTTAAAGAATGCTTTGAGATGTATATTAATTAAACATATTTCTCATTATTATTTTTGACTTGCGATTTTTTATGTATTTAATAGAATATGTGTGAACATATAGATTAAATATGAATTTATTTGTATAAATCAATATATAATAACTGAAATAAAAAATTATATAAAAATTGATGATGCAAATTTAAGAAATAATATGTTTGATGTAAGTATGCATAAACAACAAATTTTTAAAGTATTGAATTATTATAATGAACTTTTTTAAAAAATAGATTACTAAGTGTAATGACCCCAGAGGTCATTTTTGATAATTTTGAACTATTCATTGGCTTTAGTTAATTATTTATGGACAATTGACTTAATTGATAGTTAATGGACTAAAGTATCTTTTATTTAAGATCTTATACCATTTGTTCCATATAATAAAATTAAGTTAGTAAAATTTACCACTTAAATACCTAATTACTTTAATTAAAAACAAAAAGGAGATAAGAGAAAAAGGGAAAGAAATTAACCTGCATCGAGTGGCGGCTGGCGGGGAGACTACCCACTTCACGATCAGGTAACAAAAATAATTTCTTAATTATGCAATTGAAATATGGATCAAATTCAAATGGTAGTTATAATTATTATAATAATGAGAGGAAAAGGTAAGAAGGTAACAACTTTCACATTTCAATTTACTATATATTATATATATTATATTTTTGTTTGCAGTGACTTAGAATTGGCACAAGTTGACTTTCGTCCATTTTTTTATCATTATGGCCAATTGATGGCTATGTAATCATCATAATAACTAAAGGCGTTCATTTATATTTTGAATGCAGTGGTCGTCCGTAAAAAAAAATTATTAGGGCTTAGTTTAATTTTTACAATTTTTAATATATATAGAAATTTTAATGTAGTGAGTCAAGGTGTTAAATATTAATATATTATATTATAGAAAATTTGTATGATTGTATTATTTGGAAAATTTATAACTTACTTCATTTTTGAAATTTAGAAAATATAAGATTTGACCTATAGACCGGAATCAAGATTTGGGAACTTTGTTACGCACTTGAGTGAGTTTCGGGTCTAAGATAGACATATAGGTATTGTTAGTTTCAAAAATCTTATCGTGGTTATTTATTTGAATAGATTGTTTTGAGTTGGAAGTTTAACAAAAAGGGAAGACTCAAGTTCCGAAGTGATTGTTCTACTATTTGAGGAAAGTGGATCTCTAAACCCTTATTAAGCGTATGAAATTCGTGTATTTCTTTGTGTGGTGTTGAGAATGACTTGGAGACTTGTAGCTTATTTGTTGGTGTTGTATTCCTGGTTGTAAATTGTATTTTGTTATCAAAATGGTTATCTCCTCCTTTTCATTTGAGCATGTCATTTGCATTGTATCTGAGACATGGTTGTGGTAAGAGGATGTACCATTTCGAGGGTCGTATCGCGCGCCGCGATGGGTATTATAATTCGAGGGACGTATCGCGCACCGCGAAGGTTACTATTATCGAGGGTCGTGTCGTGCGCCGCGACAGATGCATGGACAGATATGTCCCCCATGGGTCCCGGACTGAGAGACAGCGGGTGTGTATCGTTAAGAAAGACATGCATCATTATACTTGACATTGCATCTCATGGCATTGCACATTTTATTAATGAATTTGAACACGTGTTTTGCTGATCTTGTGATTGTTTCTCTGTGAAGCTTGTGACTGTTGAATATTGAGTTGTTATTGAGAATGTGTAAACTGATAGAGTGTGGTTATTGAGTTGTGTGTTTGGTAAACTGTAAACTGTTAGGCTGTAACATGGAGGTTTAGATAGGGTGTAAGGAGTACCCGTATTTTGTTCACTTAACTTGTGTTTAGAGGTTTGCTTGTTGGGTACCGCGTGGTTTCGAGGCATCTTGTGGAGGGTTGTGAGGTAGCTGTTTGTCATCTCAGCAAACTTTCCTACTCCAGTTTATGACTTTGTTTTTACTTGAAAGACAACTTCATGTTAGACTTCTATTTTATTTCAATTCTAATATTTACATTAGAGGCTTGTGCACGTGACAACCTGGTTTTGGGGATTGAATTAATATGACTTGGTTTCATAATAGAAATTGTTGTTGGATTGTCATTTACTTCCACACTTTGTTAGATATTGGGTTTTAAGCTGACTTGTTTTGGTGGGATAAGACGAGTGCCATCACACTCATTTTTGGGTCGTGACACTAAGAAGGATATTAATGTCAAGTGATCATTAATTATATTACTTCAAACCTCTCTATAATTTTTTTCTAATTTTCTTTTCTTTTTTTACTCTATTTGATTTTTCTCTTTACTCCAGGAAGTAGTAATACATTACGAAAATTGATGCACTACAAAATGAAAATTACAAGAAAGTAAATTTAAATTTTACATATTACGTTCTTGCTCAGAATAAATATAAAATATCAATCATTAATTTAACTAATGAGAAGCTTAAAAGAGTAAAATTCTATAGAATATTTTTGTTATTAAATATTCTTTATTGCACAATGAAATATGCACAAGGACATAAAAATTAGAGAATTGCATACAAAAAAAGAAAGAATGAAAAATATAAAAAGTAAAATTAGGATATCAATATGTACATATATTATTACAATAATTAAGTATTCATTGAAAAGCGTGAGCTTTAATTAAGCTTTACTGCAAAGTTATGTGGTTGAATTTTGTTCAGGAATATTTAAGGCATGATGAGGTCTTTTTACATTCAATAAATAGATAAAAACGAGTCAGGAATATAATTAGATATTTTCATTATTTTGAATCAAATTATGAAAAGAATTTTTTTTTAAAAAAGATTAATTATATATAAAAGATAACAAAAAGTTATCTATTTATGTATACTCATACACATAAATTAAGTACCATATAAATAATTTGTCAAATAAAACATCATTTACTAAATTTGAAATGTAGAAATTATAAAAAACGAACATTTATATAAATTCTTTCATGAATCAATAATTTACTTATAACCCCAAAAAAGATCATTAATAATACATCATAACAAAAAAAAAAAGATTATCAAACTAATGAAGTACAGATAAAAATATAGATTGGTTGTTGGAATGTCTATTGTATTACATGTGTTAGAACTAAGAACAAAAAAGTAGTATTTATAGATTGGTGTATTTTTCAAAAAGAAATGAAAATAATTTCAAAATTTCTAAACAAAGTAAAAAACAGTCAGTGGTAGTTAAGATTAAGTGAATGCGTAGATTGATTTTAAGAGTTATTTATTAAAAAATGTCAAACAATTGAGGAAAAAAAAAGATATATTCCATTTTTGGCTTTAAAAGCATTCCACATCTTCCCTCTACATTTAGTTTTATTATAATACAAATTTTATGTGATATAAACAGGATTTTGATCGATGAAAAAATAGATTTTTAGATCACAATTGTTTTATATTTACGATGTACAATATTTTCCTTTTCCTGACGATTCTTCAATACTACTTCAAAAGTTTTAAAAAAAATTAATTTATAATTGCATTAGAGATAAACAATTAATCCGCATAGCTTAGAAACTTTAAAATTATATATAAACATCACAATTATTTATGCTAAATGCTTTAAAAACATACAAAGTGATCTCACATTATTTATGTTAAAATTCAAAGACAATCTTGAAAAATCGTTATGTAATTTGATTTTGTAATTCTTTAAGTCAAAACAATCTCGAATGAAGTCACCTCTTTTTGAAACGAAGATCATGTTATATAAACAATATTAGTTTTTACAAAAACATGGAAAAAATTAGTCAAAAAAGTCTTTAGCAACAATTTATATTATTGTGTAAATAAAATATTAATTTATACACCTTTGCCACTATTTATAATAGTTTCTACATAAACAAATTTGCAAAGGTCGATACATAAAATTGATGCACGAGATACTTATTACATAAGTATTTACTTGTAAAAGAAAATTGAAAAAAATATGCAAGGTTGTTATATTCTATTTTTTCTAGTATTTTTTTTAAAAAATCTTCTTCCAGTAGGACTTGTTGCAACAAAGTTGAGTTGTGCATGTTTATCCTGCAAACAAAAAACTAAATACAAAAATATTTTTACAAAATAAGTTATAAAATACGCAAGTATGAATTAAAAAGAACAAGATATCGCATAATAAAACACATTACTAAGCATTTTATAATACTCAGAACTATAAGCATAACTCGAAAAGTTATCCCCAATACATATAAACATCCCTAAACTATTAGGTGTTGTAATAAGTAAAATAAGAAATTACCTCACATATTCATGACTTATCCAACCAAAAAGAATAACACTTTAACATTTTTAGAGGCATTACACAAAAAGAGTTCAATAACAAAGCTAATTAAAATATAAATCTATTTTTTACCAACATTCACATATGTGGGAAAGTACCATAAGAATCATAAAACAAATAACATTGACACAAGTAAAATAAACATCAACGAAACTTAAGATATAAAATTCAAATCATCATCTTACCATGATTAATAAGTTTAATTTCTCTCAACTTTGAACCCTTAAATTAGAAATCATGTTGAGATTTGTCTCAAGAATTTAAGCAAGTTAACATAATGCAACTTAGAAACTTTAAATAAAAAAATGACTATAATATAACTCTAAAAAAATCAATAAACTAAATGTGGTTCAGCTTATCTTCAAACAGGTTGCTAGAAAGAACCACGTTGTGTAAGGTAGCGCAAATTTATTCTATCCAAATAGTATCAAGGAAGAGATGTCAACTATAAAAGTATTGAAGGTCCCAAATGGTGCGCGAAAATCAATCACATCCCTCTCTCTGCTGAAAACTTTTAATTAGTTTTGGTTGTAGTCAAGTGGCAGGGAACACTGATAACTTATATTACTACATAACTTTCATTATTCGAGGGAGAAATAGCTCTTTACTTAAAAGAAAGAATGAATAGAATATAAGCTGTTTGTAATATAAAAAATAGCCAAACTTATCAGACATGCATATACTGAAGAACAAATAAACAAACTTTAGTTTAGTATTGAGTATATGCATAATCCAAATTCCTATCAAGAAAACAATACCAAAGTACAAAACACTCTTTCCTAAAAAAAATAATACCATCAATACACTAATGCAAGAAAACAAATAAAAAATCCCTCCAATCCCACTGTAGGTTTGTCCTGAAGTAAAAGGCCAAATTCAGTAAAAGCATGTATATAAACACCTTATCCAAGGGTAATCTGCAATGAAGCTTTTCTAGCCTCAAAATTTTTGCTGCAAAATGCCAAATAGAAATAAGAGAAATGCACAAAACGAAGTTCTGAAGTCACATCCTATACAACATAATAGAGTACAAAGATCATCTATAAATAGTAGAACTTCTCTATCTACACAAATAGTAGTGATTTCCTTAAAACTGATAAAATATAGGAAGTTTTTCATTCAATAAATATTGACATTATTGGGTTCAAGAAAAAAAGAACCATCACAGAACAAAATCGGATAAAAGGGGAAAATGAGAAAAATGGATAGGGAGAAGACATCACAATCACCCTTCTTCAACGACAAACAACCTAAAAAAGAGATACTCCGATCAAGGAATGGTTTACCAAGGTAGAAGAGGGGAATGCATTAGTCCTCTCACAAGTATGTAAAGAAGAGTAACCACATTAACTTGAAACATGAAATAATGCTGACAAAGCGTTGTTTGTTACCCTGATTTCATAGTTTGTCTTAATTCTACTTGTGTTAAGTAAAGACATCAGAATATTGGAGATAAACATGAACAGAAGGTGCCATCAACTAAAGATTGCATCACGAAAAGCATACCTAATAAGCGCTTTAGGTTTATCTGTCCTTATAGTTTCCACATTGTAATTCCCAAGATGTACAACAATAAACAAAGTAAACCAACACTGTAACTAGACAGATGTAAGACAGAATCTTTATTAACGTTATACATACGCATGTACATGAAATAATCAACTGAACCAATATCGTGACTAGTCATAGAAACACACAATATCTATTAATATGCACCAAGTACGTATACTAGAAAATTTAATCATTTCATTGTATGAATGTGGTTATTTGTCCAGGTAACAATATCACCTTTGAAGAAAAAAAGAGCCAAGTAAGAGTTACTACATTCACAAATATTATTAACATTAAAAACTACAACACACCAATATACTAATCAAAGGAAAGCTAGCTTAATAGATAAGGGGTTATGTCAAACTGCAACATCACTTGATCAGACTATACATTGATCCCGAAGAGATATAAAAGAACTGTAACTTCTACAAAGACAACTAATTTACCGTGCTGCAATTTCTTCAGAAGAAGAGATGTAAGCTGAAACTATGTCGACACATCCAATCACAAGGGTGAGGAACTGTAATTTGTCATTCAACTGTAGAGGAAAGAAACACAAAAAGTTTAGAAGTGTGAACATTTACAAAATCAAACAATCTAAATTGGGAGGAGTGACAACGAGAGGGACGAGTCGAATATAAGCCGATGAAAAATGATTTAGATAAAATAGATAAAATGCTCAACTCGACTCATTTTTTAAATAGATAATAAAAACATGTTACCCAATGGATACCCATAATATAATATGGGTCTTCTTAGAAGCTTGAACCCCCTGACATGCCACATCCAACACCACCGTAGTATCTCATAACTTATAAAATCTAAGAGTAAGCTAAGAAACCACGAATAATAATTTTTTGGAATTAAATTGGAAAATTTGGAAAATTCCTAGATTTCGAAAGTGAGTTTTAATCATTTTAGAACGGTCATAACTTCCGGGTCAGAAGGAGTTAGGGTGAGTTCTTTATTTGAATGGAAAATTGTTGAAAAGATTTTTTCAACGGAGCCAAGTTTTAAAAATTTTGAGCTCGTATAAGGGAGATATGACTTTCGGAAATAGGGTTGTTGGACAGTGGAAAGTGTAATCCATATTTGTTAAGGGTATTTTAGTCTTTTCCTTACCCAATTATTTAATTTCTTTTTTGGGTAAAAAGTTTGTGTCCAAGCTTATCCCATTCACTTTACGCATTTAGAAAACAAGTTAGGGTTTTGAGAGAAGATAAAAGAAGTGGAGAAAAGAGGAGAAAGGAGAAAAAAAAAAGCAAGAACACCCAAATCGTTGTGTGGATTTGGTCAAGGTGATCCCTTTTGAGGTACATGAGATCATTCGGTGTTGGATCCTTTCACCGACACTCCAAATTGATTATATTCATACAATTCGATTTATTTGAATCAAAATCTTGAAGTTCTTGATGAAAAGTTGTGAAGTTCTTGTTGGTTGAATTGTAGTTGATCTCTAGTAGTATTGATTCATGTTTCCAAACAGCTTTCAGGTCTAATTTATTAGGTAATGAGTTATTTAGGGATCCTAAGTGTTTGGAGGTAAAATCCATCGAAGTTTAGGAGGTTAAGAGATGAAAAACGGAGAAGAAAAGTCGAAGGACTAGTCAGGTAACCCTTGGGGCGCCATGCTTGCCAGAGCGCCTCAGGGCAGCCTCTATCTGGCAGCCCCTGGCGTACCGCGCCTTACACGAGGGTCTGTGCGACAGGCTTTGGTGCCCAGCGCGTGAAAGAGCGCCAAGACACCCTAACGACACCGTTCTTTTCCTATATCTTCGTACTAGTTCTTAAGTGATGTACCTTTCATTTCTAGTTGATTCCAACACTCTAAAATACATCTTAACATGATGAAATAATTCCTAAATATGAGATACTGATCCTTGAATCAATAATTCAATTTAAGGGAAGCTATGATCCAAATCAAAGAAGTTAAGAGTCAAGTTTAAAAGTTAAGAAACAAGTTGAAGTGAGTTCTTAAAATTTTCAAAGAGTCTTAGCCAATCATTTTAACTTTGATATAAGGCCAAAGTTACAAGTTGAGAAAAGAGAAAAGAGTTGACTTACATTCTCAAAAACTAATAGGGGAATAATTATTCCCTAAGAGTTATGTTTCAAGTTAAGTAAAGAGCAAAAGTTTAGTTCATTTCTCTAAGGCTATAAGGGAACTAAGTATTCCCTAAAGGTTTACAGATGTTTCTCATTTTTGTTAAAGAAAACTAAGAGTTCCAAAAGTGTTTTGATCAAAAAGGGAAACATTGCCTCTAAAAAGAGGGATAAGTAAATTATCTCAACCCAAAGGAAGGAGTTTTATTAAAAGTATGTGATAAAGTGTATTTTGGAAGTAGTACTGAGCACCAATGTGGGTATGAGAGTTCATATTAACTTAAGTCTCCCTGTAAACCATGTATCCATCATGGGAAATGACAGGCCATACTTTTTAGATTATCACGTAAGGAGAGCTAGTGGATCCACTAAGTCAAGTAAGGTCCTATATTGACGGCAAGGTATAAGATGGTCCTTGCGCAACGAGAGGTAATATGTTGTATCATCACTTAGGCTCAATGTGATGGTTCTTTGTTAGTGAATCTCACACAAAAGTTATATTACTTTCATGTATAAGTAAAGTTGAGTTTATTATTATATTTGTTTAACGAACTAAGTTGTTTTTATTAGTTTACAAGCTTTATATATCGTATATGTTTTAAATTGATTTATATACATAATGTGAGTTAAGAACATTCTTGAGATGAGTAGTGCCAAGGTAAGTTCATCTTAATCCCCTCAATCTTAAGTCGTTGGTTAGCTTTCCAACTCGCACACACGTATATTCAATGTAGTCATGTCAATTGGCCTGCATCGTTTCATGATGTAGACGCAGGTAACCAGGGTTAGCATACAACACACTATTAATCCAGTTGAGCACTCCACAGTCATTTGGTAAAGCTCCTTACATTCTAGAGCACATCACTTTTATTGTTTTGTTTTTAGCTTAGTCCATTATGATCTTCTGTGGTCTGTTCCAATATCCCTCTCTGTTATTTTAGAGACATCATATACAGTGAGTAATTCAGTTTTGGATTCAAATTTATCTTATATTTTATATGTTCAATTTATGACACATAGTGCCATTTTGGCCAAGACAATTAGTTATGTTATTCTATAAGAATGTATTTTAATTCTTTAGTTGAGATGAGCATAATCTTCCACTTAATAAAGTCAGCCAACTCAAGGGTTCACTTAGGGGCCAACAATGGTCTTTGAGTGCCGGCAACGTCCGAAGTGTAGGCTCGGCGCATGACAAACTTAGTATCAGAGTACAGAGTTCAAGAGTCCTAAGGAGTCTATGAAGTTGTGTCTATAGAGTTTTAGTCATGGTTATGAAGTGCACCACCACATCTATGATTAAGAGGTTACAACATTTAGGAATGTTCCCTTCTTTCATATTCTTTTCGTGCAAAGAGTTATCTCTAAAGTCTCTATCTAATTCGTGCGTATGCATATTTTTCAAATCATCATACCTCCACAAAGATAAGTCACAGGTCGACCATGCTGAAGAAATGTTGATTAACAAGAGGTTCCGAATGCATCAGATGTGCAATTCCATAAATAAGTTACAAATGCCGAATTTTAGAAAGCTATTTAGATGCTAAATTCAGTAGTAACCAATCAAGCCGGGCTATAGAGAGAAGCTAGACAAGAAGGGTTTGACACCTTGAGGTTTCTTTTGTTTTGAGAATGAATCCTCCTAGCTTCACCTGATCAAGCACTACTGAGGATCCGGAGAACTTTGTAGAAGAGTTGAAGAAAGTTTTTTAGGTAATGCATGTGGCCGATGTTGAAAGGGTTGAATTGGTTGATTATCAACAAAAGAGTGTGGCTAGAACCTGGTTTAACCGATTGATGGATGGTATAACTGATGGTGCCCCACATCTAAGTTGGGTTTGGTCGAAGAAGTCTTCTTGGGGAGGTTCTTTACCCACATCTAAGACGATTAGTTAAGTTATTAAATAAGAACGTATTTTAATTCTTTAATTGAGATAAGCATAATCTTCCTCTGAGTAATATAAGTCAGGACAAGGGTCTGCTTGGGGGCCAACAATGGTCTTCGATTGTCGGTCACTACCAGGGTGTAGGTTCGTGGCATGACAATCAGCCCCTACCCTCCACTTCTTAAAAATTAACTATTCAAGTTTGATTTTTAAGAATACTTAAGTGTTGAAAACTTCAGCCCCTTTAATTACCCAACCAAGACAACAACTTGCCAATACACTGTAAAAAGGCTTTCTGATTGAATGGATCGCTACGTACTTGGCCATACTTCTTCATAAGCTTTCCACATTTCAAATTCTTCCGCTTTCAATGGCCCTCAGTTATTAATTGACCGACTAGTAATGATGATATCGTCCCATCAATTTACCATCAACAACTTACAATTCTCCTTCTTGTGTTCGATTTTGGCTGCAGATTTAATGTTCAATTTTTTTGAATACCACTGAATACATACAATTAACTATTGGCTTAATTTTTAGTACCCCAAATACTAGTACCAGAAGTAAGAATTATAGCTTTTTTATTTGATTTGTGTTATTTTAAATACTAAGCATATGTTTTTTGAAGTTGTTTTAATCCAAGACCTCTAAGTAGAACTTTCTTTTCGTGCAACAATCGACAACGAAGGTGTTTAGCATCCCTTTCCATAATTATGTTCATATTCTTTAGTAAAGTCCAAGAAAAGTAAAGGTTTTGTTTATATCAATCATATTAAGAGATTAATCAATGAGTTTACTTACATTACTTAGTTCAACTCTATACAAACACCTAAAATAATATATTACTTTGAAGGCAGAGTAGTCTCATCTAATGACGTACTATTATCTTGGTATTTTCTAATACCTAAGATTTAATAATAATTATTGGATGCCTAAAAACAACTACTCATAAAATACAAATGTTTTAAAGTCATCGTTGTACACTTTATAAATACAATATCATATTTATGGAAATCATGGTTCTCGTTTTAGGTCTTACTAATATAATTAGACACAAGAAATTTCAGATTTTTTAAATCTGCTCTGCTACCTATCATATCATCCAATGGAGTAAATAATATACACGAATACATCCTGAATCATACGCAAAAGTGGTTGATTTCTTATTTACCTCATCAAAATGAATTTGAAAGTCAATATTGATGTTGCAGGTTGAACGACTGCAACATAACTGATACTTCAAAATTGCATAATAAGACCCACATTATATACAACCTACTGAAAATATGGAGGTAGGATCTTACAGTTTGAAGCCCTAATTCTTAATTGGATAAGACATTACTCCTTCAGACCAAACATGAAGCTCCGATGACTTGAACACTGAATCTAATGAGAGAATTAATGGTCGGCGTTCAATTAAAAATAAAACTAAAGGTCGTGTGAAAATAAGAGGGTGAAAGATTTGGGGAAAACTATAAAAGAAAACAAATGAGGAAAATTTTGCCGCGATATTGTTTGCTCAAATTTGAGAAAGAATAATGATTTTTACCAACAACAGAAATATCTTTGATAATGATAAAAAATTGTTGTTTTTAATGTATTAATATCTTTCAATTTATTATACTAGCAACTCAAAATATATAGCCAAAAGATTAAAAGATTTTGTAACCAGAACAAAACTTATTGTAACAAGTTTGATATATGCCAACAAAAAAGGTAAGATGTTGCCACTTATTAAATTCAACCAACATTTTTACAATTGTTGCTAGAAAATTGTTGTCAATTCTATGTTTTCTGGTAATGTCAACACTTTTAGAAATAATTTAGACACCAATAAACTAGGTATCTGTCGATTTAGAAGTCCACGACAGCGGTGCCAAAACTTTTTGCGTCCAAAAACGCATGCAAGTGCCAGTGCACGTAGTCACTCAAGTAGTAAATAGACACTTCGAGACTAATGTTCGTACCCAGGGGACTTTAAATTGGTTAATACAAATATGAAATGAATATCTAAATTTACTCAAGTATTATATAAATTTTGAAATTTTCTTAATTACTAATTCAAACCTAATAAGAATTAGATACTTTAAGTAAACGATTTCAACAAAGAAACTTCAAAAATTGGAAAGATAACTCAGGGTTGTAGCATAAGTTGAATTCCGGTTCAATGTGATTCTATTCGATGGTGTAAAGGGTTAACTTATTGTGGGTTGGCAAGGTTCGTTTTAGGATCATAATCTTTCGAATTCTAATCGCCTAAGACTATTGACAACCTAACTACATCATCAAGAGGGGTTAGGTATGAATCAACAACATGCACTAAGTATTCATCTTGCATTTTCACAAGATGTGGTGCATATGTATAAAACTATCCTATACACAAATCAATCTAGCTTACTCTAGATTGAACACACCTCTTGCATTCTTTACTCTATCCCTCTATTCATCTTCCGATATAAAGAATGGACAGTAAGTATATTCTAATTTTGATAAATCATTAAAATGATGAAATGAGAATGCAAGCACAAAATAAACACCAACCCTTTTCACACAAGGAACAAATTCACATTAAGTCATCCTTCATAGCCACAACTCTAGGACAAGGGATTTTATCAACCCATAATACAAAAAAACAAGATAACATGTTATAGAATCATACAAGTGTTTACGAAGATGAAGAAAGAGAAGAAACCTCCTAGAATTTAGGACAAAATCGTCCTTAACTTCAACTCCCATTTATAGAAAGTGTAGTGTGCAATAAGAGACATTTAAACTATTTATATTCCAAAATAAACACGTGGGAAATTTTTTTTTGTCCAGGTTCGCGACGCAGAGGTGTTCGTTCGCTGAATTCTACTAATAAGAGGAACACCCTCCGCGATGCGAATCCATCATAGACTCCCCTGTTATTTGGAGTTCCTTTTCTTCATTGGTGGAATGATCTCCGCGATGGGACTCTAACGCGGACTCCTTCAGTGCTTGGAGGGAGTACATCCGCGTCGTGGGGTTTCTTCTTTCCAATGCCATTTCAAACTTCTTGGTTCTTCTCTAAGGCCACTTTTTTTCTACTTTCCAACATGTGATCAGGTGCCCAAATTCAGCTATTTTTCCAATGATATTTTGATTGAAGAATCTAATAATATTCCTTCAAAGATGAGGACTCAAAACAACTCTAAATACTTGACTAAAACACCGAAAAAGGTTCATGCTCGAGTATATGTATGGGATAAAAATGGTTTTTAGGAATATACATACGCCTAACATCAATGGCTAATGTGTAGTTTGATGTGGGTTCTACCTATTCTTATGTGTCTATGAGTTTGGCCTTTGATATTGAGATGTTATGTGATGTTCTTGATTCACCTATAGGTGTTTCTACCTCGGATGGAGAGTCTTTCGTAATAACCAATGTCTATCGTGTTTGCCCTATCTTTTTTTTATGGGATTTTAGATATGAGGTGATTTGGTGATTTCGGACATGAATGATTTTGATATTATCTTAGGCATGACTTGGTTGTTTTCCTTTTATTATGTGCTTAGTTTTAATACCCTGTTCGTGACTATAGAAATTCCAAGAAGGGAAAAATTAGAGTTGGAAGTGGTATACAAGCTTACAAAAACTAAAATTATATCCTCCATCCGTTATAGTAAACTTGTAGAGTAAGGTTTTTTACCTTATTTGGATCATGTTGGGGATGTTAAGATTAAAGCTCCATCCATTGGGTCTATTCATGTGGTGTCTTAGTAAAATGATGTATTCCCAAATGATTTTTGTTGGCCATTCCTCTAAATAGATACATGAATTCTCTCTTATTGACTTAGATCCTACTAAGCGCCCCATTTCAATTCCTCTATGTCGCATGGCTCTAGAAGAATTGAGAGAGCTTAAGGCTCAAATCCAAGAGTTCTTTAATAAGGGTTTTATTCATCCTAGTGCTTCCTCATGGGGTGATCCAATTTTATTTGTTAAGAAGAAATATGATAGCATACAGATGTGCATAGATTACCTCGAAAAAAGCTTTGAAAACATATAAACATGATCCTTCCCTTTTCGGATTCATTCCGCTTGTTCTTGATCTAAAAACAATCAACAATATAGGACAATAAAAAAATAAATAACTAATATCCCAGAAATGTACCAAATTCATAAACCCTAGGTCAAACTCACAATCCCAACTAGCCAAATTAGGGGGTTTTCACGATGAATTATATCAAGAAACCCTTTTACATCTATTATGATCCATTCTAAATGATTCTACGAACTGAAAAATGAAAACGGGGATTGAAAACCTTACCTTTATCAATAAGGGTTGTGGAAAACGAGTTGAAATCACCCAAGGTTTGTTTCATAGTTCTAAAAGTCCAAAAGTGCAAAATAAGGTCAACTAGGGGTTTTATTTACAAATTTATATCCCGTCATCCTGCTATAATGGAGCCCATCCCGCTACAGCGACACTTCTTTAACCAGTGATCTCCAGTTTAATAAATCACAAAAATCCTATTAATCAATCTCTGTCTCGTCCGCTATGGCAGCATCAATCCCGATCTAGTGGTGTCAATGCAACGATAATAATCTCGCTACAGCGGCATGAATTGAGGGTGTAAGATCCTAAGAGATTTTCAGTTTCCCCCTTTAACAACGTACACTTATCCCGTTACGTTTCGAAATACGCTGAATGTAGTGATTTATTCCCGGAGATATATTTATCTAAATTCAATTTAGTTGAGTCGTTTAGGTTCCTTTAAGATTTATCTAACCAATTTTGTAATCAAATTCTAATTTACTCCACCCTATTGCCACAAATTTTCCCTACACCTAGATGACTTCGATTTCCTCCAAATATGGACAAGGTTGAGAAAATCCTAATAGTCCAAAAAAAAAATTTCAGTCTCGATTTTTCCTCGTTGGTATTTATATAATGATGAAACTTAGTCTTTACAATAGATACCAGTTTACCAATCTCTCATTCCTGGGCGATCAACTTAGAAAGGTAGGCTAAAAGGGAACAAGGTGGTACCTCATTCGACGAACAATTGGGGATACTTGTCATGCATGTGTTTCTTGATCTTCCAAGTAGCTTTCTTAACTATACGATGTTTCCATTGAACCTTCACGGACTTAATCACCTTGGTCCTAAACTTACAAACATCACGATCCAGAATAGCAATCGGTTCCTCTTCATATCGGAGATCTATGTCTAGCACTATTTAAATTTATTTTCATTTCCGTTTAAAAGGTACATCCACCTATAAAAACTAATTTTTTCTTAGTTCTACCGCATGTAATATCTAGTCATTCCAACAGCCAATCTGCATTTTTATCTATTCTTTATTTGTCTCATAATTTTTTTTTGCTGTGATGTAATATTATTTAAAATTTATTTTGTTTTTACGTAATTTATTGATATATTATATTTGCATGATAAGAATTTATTTAAATGATCTTTCTTTATAACTTGTACATGTCAGATTTGGTGAATGAAGTTTTATTTGACAAATTATAGATATGCTTCTTAATTTCTGTGTGTAAGTACACGTAAATAGATAAATTTTTGAAATTATTTATATATGATTAATCTTTTATTTCGAAAATTCTTTTCTTCATTTTATTTATGAAAATGATGAAAACATCTAAATATATAACTGAATCATTTTATTTAGTAATTTATTATTTAATAGAATTTTAAAAATATCTCATACATGAAATATTCATTAGCAAAATTTAACACATATAACTTTGCAATAAAGCTTAATTAAAGCCCTCGTTTTTCAATGAATATATAATTACCGTAAGTTATATTTACATATTGGTATCCTAATTTACTTTTTTTATATTTTTTTATTCTTTCTTTTTGAGTATACAGTTCTCTAATTATTTTGTCCTTGTGCATATTTCATTGTGAACTAAAAGAATATTTAATAACAAAGATATTGTGTATAATTTTACTCTTTTTAGCTTTTCATTATATTAATTAGTTGTTGATATTTTATATTGATTTCGAGAAAGAATGTAATATGTAAAATTTTAATTTACTTTCTTATAATTCTCGTTTTGTGGTGCATCAATTTTTTTAATGTATTACTCCTTGTAGGAGTAAAGAGAAAAATCAAATAGTGCAAAACATGAGAAGAAAATAAGAAAATTAATATGGAGAGGTTTAAAGTATTATAATTAATGATCACTTGACATGAATATCCTTTTTAATAATCTATTTTCTAAAAATATTCCGTGAAATAATTCAATACTTTTAAAATTTGTTGTTTATGAATACTTAGATCAAACATACTATTTCCTATGTTTGCATTATAAATTTTAACATAATTTTATTTATTTCACCTAATATATATTATTTAATCTTGTTGTTCACGCATATTCTATAAATTATATAAAGATTCACAAATTTCCAAATAATTATGAGAAATATTTTTAATTAACATATTTTACAAAAAATATAATATTAATATTTATTCATATTTTATATTTCTTTAAACCGCACGAAGTGGAATATCTATTACAGTAAAACCTTCATAAATTAATACTCAG